TATCCTTGACAAGGAAGGAGATTCCCTCATTGACAATGGTGTGACATAATCCCCACCATGTGAAATTCCCTCTCCTACTTTATCCTCTCTCCTTTACATGATGAGGATTGTGCCACATCATTGTCAAGGTGGAAAATCCTCTCCTTATTAAGAATACCCATTAATCTTATATATATATATATATTTGCACTAGAAAATGGTCCTCACTTTTTTTGATAGAATCATCAGTTTTGACAGAATCATCATATCTAGATTGAGCTCGACTTTAAATAAAAATAAAAAAAGAACCTTCCGCACGAAAGTCCAATGAAGGTTGATCATGATCCCCATATGCAATCATCAACATTGACGAATTAGAGCATTAATTAGGCTCTACTGTTGCATAACTGAGCTTCCTTAAAGCATATAAAGTTCCTAATTAACCTTCCTACCAACAATAACAATTAATACATGTTTGTGTATCCTTAAGACTCCATCTCATGATCGGGTTGAGTGACAAACTTTCAAATCTTGCGATCCTAGGGAGATGAGATTTCTTTGAAGCATCAGCAAATGCGTTACATATGTTAACCTGCACAAAGTGTCATCAGAAATCATGAAGGCGACAGTCTCCTCACCTATCGTCTTGTATTGTACCAAAATAGTCGTAAATAATTGTTCTTCTATAGACTTGTAGGAAATAAATTTGTTCCTTTAGGAACAAGTACGATAATAACTCCCCAAATATGAGATCTGTAAACCTTCAGAAAATTTATTGATGTCAGAAATGGCGATGTGAATATGTGCCTTCAAGAGAAATTACGGTAGAAGCATGATCATCTTAAGAGGATTCCTCAGCCTTCTTAAGAATCCAATAATTCTTCTTATTCCTTCTTTCTACAAAAGGTAGAAAATCAAGTGTCGCACTCCTAAAAACTTCCTCATCTCGTGCTGCAACTAAGACTTACATCTTCTGCAACTACATTATCGATAACTTCTTCCAACAGTCATTTGACAAAGTAGCGCTCAGTTGCTACATCTTCCAACTCAACAGAGCCATTCCCATGTAGTAGAATAGTAACCAAGTTCTCGTAAGATGAAGGTAATGATGATTTAAGGTCTTAGTTTCATTATCGACCTTAACTCGTATGAATTATAATTCTGAAATAGTTTTATAGAATAGATTGAGATAATATCGAAGCGTGATATCTTCTTTCATGAAGACTTTATAAAGCAATTGCTTTAGGTATAAGGGCTTTTGCCAAGGATATTGTCATGTGGAGGCTTTCTAGTTTACCTAAAGCTCTACCATGTATCCTGAGCATATTAAACTATAGCTCTTTTACCATTGACGTAGGATTCATAACGAACAAATTCATGGAGTGCAGTGAGACCGCCACGAGTCAAATACGGGTACAAATGTATTTTTAACTTACACACAAATAAACCACCATATATCCCAATCCAAAAGGCAGATTCAAACATATTTTATATGTAAATCACTTATCTTGATGAGACAAATCCAACGAAAATAGCAGATTCTTAAAACTTCATCACTAGTATTCATCTTTGCTAGAGATCCAAAAATAAACAGGTTTTAATTTATTTTCAGTAATAAAGTTAGAGTCTATTTAGGGTAGAAAATAAATTCAATTTTGATTCGATTTGGACATGATTTCCCCCCTCTATTATAAGGAGTCTTTTAGGTAATTTTGAAATTTTTTTAAGCAATCAATTTCGGACTTTTTTAAAAAAGCTCTTTTTTAAATTTATTAAGCAAAATCGACCCCCTGAAAAAAATAAGCAAAACCGACCATTTTCTTCTGAAAAGGGTCGGTTTTGCAGTGAGATTTTTTAGGGAACTACACGAGACTACTAGTCCCGTGCAGTCCACTTTAATCCTCTCACACGTGACCGACTCCCCTCCCAACCCATCTCTTGTGGCGCTCGTGACCGACCCCCTCCCAAAAATCAAGATCCCCAAACCCTACCCACCGAACCCCGCCTACCTCTTCTGACCCCCCGACCCTGATCCTGCCGACCCGGACGATCTCGTCGACCTCGTCACCCCGTCGGCCTCGGAGAAGGAAGTCAGGGTGGTTGGAGTTTGCTGGTTTGCAGCGATAGAAGAGGTTCTGGGAGAGCTTGCGGCTGCTGCGACGGGCATTGAGTTTGGCCTGGCGGCTGGTGTACAGGCGTTGCCCTCGATGCGCCAGTGGGAGGGGCCGTGGGGTTTCTTCTTGCTGCATCCTGCGGAGACTGCTGTGGAGGAGGGGGGATTAGGGGGTTTGAGAGGGGAAGGGAAGAGGAAGGGAGAGGGGGTTCTGTTGCGGGGAGCCAGAAGGGAGAGAGGGGTGAAATAGGGAGGGAGGGGTTCGGGTTTGAGTTTGGGTTTGGAGAGGAGGGGGGTTCTGATGGAGCGGTGCTGCTTGAGGCCAGCCTAGCGTGAGTTGGAGGGGAGGGGGGAGACGGGAGGCAGGGAAAATGAAGTGCACATGACTAGTAGTCCCATACAGTCCGCTAAAAAAATCTCATTGCAAAACCGACCCTTTTCAAAAGAAAAAGGTCAGTTTTGCTTATGTCGATTTTGCTTAATAAATTTTAAAAAAAGGTTTTTTTAAAAATTTGTCCATCCATTTCTACTAGGAGTAGGATATGTTTTTCTATTTAAGAAGAATGATTAAAATCCCTATGGGTAGAACACTCCTATTATAACATTTTGTTTATGAATTCAGAGTTCTTCATTGAACCTCATATCATTTTTCATTGATTCAAGGACACTCCTTGCTGGATTATGAGATTCTCAGTTCCACATTGTGTTAATTGGTATTTGAGGATCTACTTGGTGGGAAAATATGCTCTCAATAAACCCTCATTGCTCCTGAGATTCTTGATATTGATCATGGTATGTTATAGAAGATGGATACTATGCATGATATTCCCAAAAGTTTTGTGGATTGTTGTTCAACATTTGGTGTTGCTTTCATGGAGGAGAAGTAGAAGGCTAGAAAAGAGAGGAATGCAACTGGTCATACATATAACTTGCTTGGTTAAAGGTCTAGAGAAAGAGAGAAAAAAATTATGGATGACTTATGAAAAAAACTTTTCTTTAGAAAAGAAGGTTGATATGATACTCCTGGCACTAGATTTAAAAAGTAACAACGAAAGATTTTGACAAGTTTTCCCAATCACTTGCAAACACATGATTCTTACATTTACATTCACAAGGTGTGGAGGAGAAACACATGTTTATTTTAAGAAAACTCTCAGCTAAGGAAATAAAAGAACATTCAGAAAACGTCAACGATAAATATGAGGTGAATGTTGATCAACGTATGGAAGAAACATGTTTATAAAAGAAGCTACTATTCTAACAAACATAAGTGTGAGTGTGAGACACCTCAGGGTGTCTCAGCATGTGAGACACCTCGAGGTGTTCCCCCCCCCGCCGAGACACCCTAAAGTGTCTCGGCACCCGTCGAGACACCCTGAAGTATCTTGGCACCCGAGACACCTCGGGGTGTCTCAGACGCAATCAGAGCGAGCGGGTTGTTTTCGTTTTGGATTTTGTTTCCTTGATATAAATAGGAACTTCATTCCTCAGATTTTTTGCAGAGTAGAGGGGCTGTCATCAATGAAAAAGAAAGAGTTTTTTTCAGATCTGAAAAAGGTGAGATCTTGAGGAGAGAAAAGATAGAGTGCTTGGAAAGATTGTACAAGAAAGAGGCTATGTTTTCTTGGGAAAAATCAAAGTCTCATCTTTGGGATGAGCTTGTGGATTGCGCAAGTCGTCGGTGTTCTCCATCATAGTGGAATCTCCCTTCTCCCCTTTTCCCGTGGACGTAGGCAAGTTTGCCGAACCATGTAAATCTCGTGTCTTCTTTATTATTCTATGTGTATTAGCTATTGCTTGTGTTGGTTTCCT